TTGAAAAGACACATCTGGGGGACAGGCTAGCTCCGCACACCGAGTGTGGATTGCAGCAAGGGAAGAAGCAGTGTGCTGGCAGAATCCATCACAGGCAGTGAAGAGGGAGCTCTGAAGCCTAGGGGCTGCCCCCCACCCCACGCCATTGCCCCCAAAGTCCATCCTACCCTGCATAGCACGACTGGTCCTGTCTTCCAGGCACAAATCGTTTTTCTCTTCTCCATGCTTCCACATGTCTGCTTCTGGCTACACCTTCTCCTCTCCTCAATTTCAATTTGATTCCAAGCCCAGATTCTAAACTCACCCTCATCCGTGCTGGATTCCCTGTCTAGTAGCCGTGTTTAGTGTCCCCTGCTACACACCCTCTCCGTGCCCACCCTACTGAGCATATCTCTCGCTCTACCTTAGGTTCCACGTTTTCCTGAAAGACCTCCCTTGATAACTGGAAGCCCTCTAAGGACAAGAACCAGGTCACAGACGTTACTGAGCAGAACACAGGACTCAACAAGTTTGGAGGCCAATAAATGCCTAGAAAAAGGTCCAGGCTGAGGGAGAAGGCATCACCCCATAAAGCTGTGACCCCAAGTATCATGGAGTCAAGGTATAAAGGGAAGCGTGGTCACACCTGATGAATCCGGGCTTGAGTTCTGGAGTCAAGCTGAATCCAAGCCAGAGCCTACTTGACCATGTTGCTGCATGGTCTCAGGCAAATTATGCAATCTCTGTGAATCTTTTTCCTCAGCTCAGATGTAGGGGTGACAGCAACAGCTCTGCAGGACAGCTGAAGTGTCTTGATAACGTAAAGCAAAAATGACAAAACATGAGCATCGCTAAACAGTGGACGCTTTCCCATGTTATGGTTTGAATGTGTTTGCTCCACCATGTCCAGACTTGTAAATTGAAATCTCATCACCCTAAGAGGAGGAGAGTTGATTAGGTCATGGAGAAGCCCCTCGTGAGTGGGACTGTGGTCCCGTAGGAGAGACCCCACAGACCACCTTGCCTCTTGGACCATTGAGGACTCTGAAACAAGGTGCTATCTACAAATTAGGAAGTGGGTCCTCATCATGAACCAACCCTGCAAGCACCTTGACCTGGGACTTGCAGCTGGCAGAACTGAGAAAGAAATTTCTGCTATTTGTAACTTCCCAGTATATGATATTTTATTATAACATCCAGAGGAGACTGAGACATCCTCCCGAGACTTTCCATTCTGTGGTACCTAAGTTTTTCCACCTGTAGAATAGACTGACAGGCTCACAAGTTATTTTTACTATTCAAGCAACACATTATACAAAAAATAACATTTGTAACAGACTTAGTTGTTCAGAGTATCACATGAGTATGAAACACTCATTCCTCCTTTACAATGTGGGAATTACCACCCATGATTTCTACAAGAATTTAAAGACTGCTGTCAAGTGAAGACATGCTATTAGCACAGGAACTTGTTACCAGTGGAGGAGGCATCTCTAACTTGAGAGTAGGGATGGGTCTGTCCTCCACTCTCTGCTGAACCGTGCACCCAACTTGGAGTCCCTCTCAGCACATGCTGAAGTGTGTCTCCTCACGTGGCAGTCTGGAAATACAATCCTCATTTAACTAATGAGGAAACTGCGGGTCAGAAATGTTTCCCTGAAGCCAGATCCTGTGCTGTTCGCCCAGGATGCTAAAGGAAGGACAGTGACACTGTGGACATGCAAGTGAGATCTACAGTATCTGCCCCCACCATTATGGGAAGAATACAGAGGGTTCAGAGTGATTAGAAGCTGAATCTGTTCTCACTCCATGTGCAATGTAAATCTGTGGCCATCAGAGAAAGAACAGAATTCAAAATCAGATTCAGAGCACACTCCCATAACTGTACGTAATGTGTAAAAAGTGCCAAGGTCACCACCTGCATAGATGAAAAAAAATTATGCTCATATGCTCTTAGGGGGTGGTTGTCAGGGTTCCGTCGAGGTTAAGGGTATCATGTCTCCTAGAAAAGCCAGTCCAGTTTATATAGAGTGCCCCAAATAAAGGATCATCATACCTCCACTCGATGTGAAAAGCTTCGAAGTGAGTATAGCCTTGCTGAGTCAGAGGAGAACATCAAATAAGAGTTACCTGAGACCTCAACCACCTCTGAATTCAATCACAACCCATTCTGACAAGGTCTAGTCCCATGGGAATTTCTTCCAATGTCCCCAGTGAGTCTAAAGGACACCAGCATTCAAGGCTATTGCCCCAAATGAAAGACAGCTTCCCAAGAAGCAAAGGAGGCAGGGGTTGGCAGGTAGGCCCAGCTCCCCCTGGGGAAATCGGGCAGCAGAGGAGGAAGCATAAATGGAGTTGATCCACGGAGCCCATGAGACTAGTCATCTTCTCGTTGACTCCCACCTTCTCAAGAAGCTGTCGGAACTCTCCAGGCAGTTCCCATGCTGGGGAAACCACACTTCTCGGCAGTGAGCAGGTAATTAGTACTCCTCTCCCTCTCAGAGGAGTCCCTGTTTCACCTTGAAGCAGAGGGGAAGAAGCAGGAGACAGATTTGTCCACACATTTGGAGACATTCTGCCAAAGAATTCCATCGAGGCACATGAAGGCAGGTCCCTGGCAGTTATCAGCAGCAGAGCCCAGGGTGGAAACAGGTCTTGGGCAGGATTTGTGAACAGATTGTCTCCAAATGCTGCGTCTCTCCTAATTAATGCTGCAAAGCTAAGTCTCTGGCCTCTAGCTGCACATCAGGGAGATTCCGGGAAAAGCAGGGTCTGCCATCTCCTTGTCCCTGTCACTGAGAGCACAGCCTGTCCCCCAGGCAACTCCCCTGGGTATTGAATCGGTTTGAAGGTCTGGTTCTGGTCTCCTAGGTGGAGAGCATTTCAAGACTTTACAGAGATGGGGGTAGGTAGAGAGAGGGTCTTTCTTAAGAGGGATCATGGTCATCACCACAGCTGCCCACCGAGGGGCCAACAGCTCCCAAATACAGTCCAGATACTTCCCCTGTTCCACCTGCCACTGTTTTAGGCTCCTGGGAACTTCTTCAGTGTTATATTAGGAAAACCTGTTTCACAGAGGAACTATGCAAGGAAATTCAACATGTGTAGGCAAATCTATCATTTGTGGCCTTAAAATCACAATTTTGATTCATAAATAAATAAGATTGTCAACCATTCAAGTTAAATTATACCTACGTTCACATGCACACACACACTCCTGGTATTTTCAAACTTTCTGATCTTTGCTAACCTAGAAATGCCTGTGTTTTTCTGTGTGTGTGCACGTGCGTGTGCATGTGTGTGTACATGTGTGTGTGTTTGTGTGTGTTTGTGTGTGTGTGTGAGTGTGTGTGCGTGCATGTTCCTGCATGTGCTTCCGTATATGTGGGTGGGTGCATGTTTGGGTGTCTGTGGGTCTGTATATGCAGGTGCACATGCATGTATCAATGCAAACAGGTGGAAGCCAGAGGTCAATCTCAAGTGTTATTCCTCAGGAGCTATTTTTAACTCTCTCTCTCTCTCTCTCTCTCTCTCTCTCTCTCTCTGTGTGTGTGTGTGTGTGTGTGTGCATGCACGCACGAGCAAGCATGCATGTGTACACACTCACACATGAGCATGCCATGACTTGACAGACAGCAACTTAAGGGAGTCTTTCCCTCCTTCTACCATGTGTATTCTGAAGATCGAATGAAAGCCGGCAGGCTTGGTAACAGGACCTCTACCCACTGAGCCGTCTCACCCATCCTACCTACCATCTTTTTTGAGACAAAATCTGGAGCTCACCAATTTGGGAAAGCTGCAGAGATCCTCCAGACTCTACCTCCCCAGCTTTGAGATTACAAGCACACACCATCACACCTGGCTTTTCACACAGATTCTGAGAATTGGACTCAGATCACTGTGCCTGCTTGATTTTTCATATGCTTAAAACACAGCCTTGTTCCTTCTTTTGTGGATCTGCTTATAGTCCTTGCCTGTTTTTCTTACCGGTTTGTAAATGCTGTTAATAGTAGAGGAAGCAGTCTTATTTCTGAGATAACACACGTGCATGTTTCCAGTTTGATGTTCGTTTTTATTTTGTTCATGGCCATTGAGCTATGACTATATTTTGTGTGTATTTTTTAATTTTTGTTTTTGATACTATGACTACATCATTTCCCCCTTCCCTTTATGTCATGCAAAACCTCCCATATACACCCCTCTACCATTGCTTCCAAATTGATTGTTGTTACATACATATATGTTTAGATGTGTGTATATTCCCAAATGCATGAATGCAACATCCTCAGTCTGTACAATGTTACTTGTATGTGCATGTTTTCATGGCTGACTATTTAACATTGGCTATCATTTGGTTGGCTCATCCCTGGAGAAGGCTATTTCTCCTACTCTTAGAATTCCTTCCTTAGCTGCCTGTAGTTCCTTGTGTGTGGGTCAAGTTCTCAGAAACTTTTCCTAGTCCATGTTAACAAGAACTATGGCTACTTCTAATGTGTTAGGATATACTGCTTGGGGGTTCTGTTTTGTTCTCTGGGTTTTATTTCATACCTTTGAAAGTATGATAAGAGATAAGAAGAACGCACCTCCCATCATTCCTTTCACATGAGGTCTTAAAGAGACTAAGCCAAGCCAAAAATCACTGAACTGAAAAAAAATCACAGAAAAGCATGACCTACCTTGTCCTACATTCTGCATTGAAGACCATGGTCCCCAAGAGGAAGCTGAGAGGCAGATGATTCATTTCCAAGGATAAGACACAGTGGAGCAGGCCAAGCATCCCAGCTCCAAGGGAGTTCATTTTCTTGGCTTGCAGAGCATGTGCATATTTCCAAGGCATTGTAGAAGTCCTCCTAATATACCCAGCATCCTCTGGTCAGAAAGCGTCTTCCACAAAACTCCAATCTGGTTCCCTTTGAATAAAATATGTGCACGCAATCTCTGAGTCAGTAAAGTGTGGACTTCCTTGGGGTACTAAATAAGATTCAGATGTGCTTATCTGTTTCTATGGATTCCATTACTCCTTTTTAGGTGTTTTTTGAGATTTTATTCATATTTATTTTATATATATGAGTGTTTTCCTGAAAGCTGTACACCAGGTGTTTGCAGTACCCTCAAGGCCAAAAGAGGGCATGGGATTCCCCCAAGACTACAGTTACAGACAGTTGTGAGCTTCCATGTGTGTGCTGGGGATTGAACAGTGGGACCAGGATCTGGCGATACTGTGTACAACTGTGTGGGGACATGTTCAGATGCTGGGGAAGCAGAGGGAACATGAGGGTATGATTACAGCAGAGACAATGTAACCCAGAGCCTCTCTTGAGCATCAAAGCATGGACCAGGAAAGCAAAGCCCAGCTCTGTCCACAGAACTGCTCCATTTCTCTTGTAGGTCCCCAAAGACTATGAACTCCAGCCAGGATCCCAGGCACAGTGACAGGCCATCTTTTGTTGTTCCTTCAAGCAGAACCATTCCCTGTTCCAGTCTTCTTCATCTGATGTCCAGTGTGCCATCCTTACTTTTCGGACTCCTCCCCTAAAAATTAAATTAAATTAAAACTACTGGACATTGCTGAAGTCTGGGTATACAGAGACTGTCAGGAGCCAACCAGTGTTAAAGACATATAGTTTCAGACCAAAGTGCACAGAGTCTGGGAGATCAATTATTTGTGGAGGAAGAAGTTAGTGCTTAGAGGGAACTAGAGAGATTGACCCAAGGTCAACAGTCTGCCCAGCAACAGCAGAGCCTGAGGTTGTTGTCCTTCGGTCCCATGCTCCTCACCAACCTGCTGTGGCTCCCAGACCAACTGTCTCTGCTTCCTTGGGGAATGTCCTGGTAAGAACTCTGCTTTTGGATTTTGTCTGGGATGAAAAGAGAACAGGTTGACTTTGTAATGTCATCAAATATTAAGCTTGATTTTTCCCAGCTACTGACATCCAAATTGCCAGTGAGCTCAAAAGCCCCAGCGGAGCCCGTTGGCTGTGCTAATAGAATAGAGCTTGCAGCTAGGCAGGAGGGGAGGGCAGCCCCCCTCTCTATGTAGGGGGAGATGAACAAGAGGGACTATAGGGCTCTATGGCTCCCTGGGAGTCAGAACACCAGCTAATCAAGGCACATTCAGGTTAAGGGCCTTCAATTAAAAATTTTAAATCAGAGCATTCCATAACCATGGATGCTTGAAATGCCAAGGGTCTATGAGGTCATTCTGTGAAGTTGTCAAAAGCTGAACAAATAATGCATCACTTGTCCTCTGAACATTTTTTTAATAAGAGCCCTTTGTGACATAGGACATACTGCACAAATACAGGCAGGGAAGGAAGTCACCTCTTCTCACTTCGTTTTTTTTGAAAATACAGTGAGAATTATCTTTACAGGTAGAAAAAATGACTTAGGGAGAGTGTGTTACTCCATGGTAGAGTGTGTACTTAGCATGTGCAAGGCCCTGGGTTCAATTCCTGCCACTTAAAAATAAATGGGTCTTAAGTTTGGCTTCATATAATATTTTCACTTGGTGGATGCATTACCCTCACCAAACTGTGGCTGCTTATCTGTGAATACTTGGCTAATAACACCTCCTTGAAGGGATCTGTGAAAAGTTAAGCAGGGTGTGTTAGGAAACACCCAGGACCTGCCTGACACCAACTAGGCCTGGTGAGCTCTCCTCTAGGGTTTAAAATGAATGTGTGCTTTACTAATTTCTTTACCTTAACTTTACATATGGTGAAACTGAGTTCCAGATGGTGAATCAGCAGAATCACGATAGCCCTCAACTGAATCAAATTCAAGTCGAGGAATTCTCTGGAAATAACCACCCCCATATCAACACTTCTGTTATCCCTCGCTTCTTATTCAGAGTTCTGCACCTCCTAAACATTTAGTGTGGGGTGTGTGAGGAATAGATAAGGAGCCGCTTCCACGTGTTCGGCCCCTGTGTTCTAGGGCAAGGCTGGAATCTATCCCCAAGCATCACCGTGTGACCTCCTTCAAGGAACGATATCCACTGAGGACCGCAGAAAGTAGAGGAAGGAAAGGGAGAGCAGAGGTGGTGAGACTAAGGGGGTAGGGGAAAGGATATGCAGTGCAGGCGAGGGAGTGAGAGGAGATAATAGCACGAGTATATGTTACTATGATATATATATATTGATATTATTATGATACATACTGATATTATCATATGCACATGTTGTTTATATACACCATTAAGAGAAAAAGTGCTATTTGATATTATTATATATAATATTATATTAATATATATATATATTTATATATTATTACATGTGATATATCACTATTATATATTTATATATATATTATGTTTATTTACATAATATAATGTATTACTTATATCATATTATATATATATCATTTATCTATGTTTATATGTATATTTATATATATGTATGTTATTATATATTAATTATTAATAAATATTATTAGATAGTATTTAATCATTTATTATTTATTTTTATGTATTATATGTTTGTTTACATATTTATCTACTTATTTACTGATATTTATAACTGATGTATATATTTATAGATGCATGTATATAATGATATATATTATACATATTATTATTATGTTATATATAATGTATTATGTATTATTATTATTTATAAATGTATATTTACATGCATGTATTATATATTTATATATTTACTTATTCATTAATATATTATTATTTATATGCGTCTTAGAATCAGGACCTTCTGCCAGGGAATCACAGGAAAGCACAATCGGTTGTGTCTAATGAGTCAGGGAGAGAGAGTGCAGTGAACCAAGAGTTCAAAGTCAGAAGAGGCCCATGTGAGTGACAGATGCCAGAGTCGCAGCCACTCATGCACTGTGGGATGACAGCTAAGAGCCCATGCTTTGTTTTCTCCAGCCTCTGTCTTTGATGGAAAGCCCTTTATGTTGCCTGATGTGAATGGAATTTAAGCAGCTATTTTCATGGGCTGCTGGGTATATCTGCGATATTTCCAGCAATTAATATTGTTGCCTCTGAGAAACTGAGGAAAGGAGTCAACCCGTGTGCCCCCCCATATTGTCTCTCTGTAGGTGACTGGTTTTACTGCTATACGAATCCAGATTCTAATCCTATTTTTCTAGACTTCTCTAAGGAGGTTGCATTGGCCCAAAGGAATGTGCATTCTAGATGGCAAGGAGAGATGGGACTGGAGTGAAACTACCAATAAGAAATAAAGAAATGGTACCAAGAAAACTGCAGAATGGGGAAACGCAGAGATCCTAGGGATAAGTTTGTTAAGGGAAGCTTTTTCCTTTGCTAGCCACTTTGGTTTATCCCCCACCAGTCGCCTGGGCTCTGTCGCGCCAGCCTGGTTCTAGAGCCGCATCAGTCCCAAATAAACACACAGGAGGCTATATTCATTATGAAGCTGTTGGCCTTGCTTGTTTCTAACTGGCTAGCTCTGACTTAATTAATTACCCCATAATTGTTAATCTAAGTATGTCTCTTACCGGAGAATAGTTCCAGGCTTCCTACCCCCAATGGCGTTACATGTTGACTCTCCTGTGTTTCTCCTACCCAGAATCCTCCTGGATTCCTAGCCCCACCTATCTAGATTCCTATTGGCCAGACAGTGCTTTATTAGCATAAGACTTCCCCAACATCTCCTCTTTTCTGTTTAAACAAAAAGAAAGGTCTTAACTTTAACACAGTCAAATTGTATATAACAGAACAGTTATCAAATAAGAACATAGTTACAATATTTTAGCAAGATTTAAAGAAAATATCATCCATACCATCCTTGTGAGTTCAAAGTTCTATATGTAACTTATCTTTTATCATAACTAAGGAAAACTATAATTATAAGTATCTGTCTTCAACTCCATCAAAGACCACAGAAGGATAATATATAAACACTAGGATTGACAGAGACATCTTACTGCCTGGACAGTCACCCGAATTTCCTCTGTAACGTTGGGGCATCCATCTTCAGCCCATAGGCCACAATGTGTCTGGAACACTTCTCAGCAAAGCAGGAAATTTCAAACTGTCTATCTGCGTTGGCAGTCTGTCAGTCATTTTTCTTTGTCCTGCAGAAAGTCTCGTAGACTCTTCATCAAGCAGGAACCCTGTAAGACTGAGTTCAGTAGTCACTTTCCTGTGGGTCCTGCATGTCCAGATGATACAACAACAGTCAAACAATCTAGGCAAGAGCAGTTTCTTGCCCAAATGGCTAATCTTGCCATGTTGAAAGCAAACTTTATAACGAGTTTCTTCGATGCCCATCTTCCTCTCAGACGTAATTGGTGCTGCCAGGATCAGACATTTCTCATTGTCAAGACAAACCCTAAACCATTTTAAATGCCATGTTCTGAAGGTCTTTGAGAGGTTTGAAGACTGTCCATCTCAAATATATTTCTGTATATCTAGAAACCTAACTTATGTAACTAGAAATTCTATTATAAGTAACTATCTATAGTCTGTATTCAATTATGCATTACGTTGTAAAAGATCAGTATAAGCACAATACTTAATCAAGAGGAGAAATATAAGCATCACAAAATTGACCTTGAATTTGTATCAATAAATGAAAAGCAATACCCATACCATAATTCCCCTTTTTACCATTAAAAAAATTGGCTGTGATCATTAGCCAATTATAAACAATCCCATTTAAATGAAAACAAAGATTTATAAACAAGATGGGAATTGGGACGTCGCTCATTCCAAACTGCTTCCTGCTGGAAGGGGGCGCTGTTCATACCATGGGGATCATGACAAAACTCAGAAACCTGTATAAGTCCGTATTTTCGGGGTCTGTAAAGCTGCATCATCTTAGCTGTTTCAATTGTTGGAACACCTGGTCCACTGCTTCCGGGGGTCTTGGTTGGTCAAACCACAGAAGTCTGGAAGAAATCCTCAGCTTTTTATGTTCTGTGGAAACATAAATTAAAACTCCTTTTCCGAGTAACATATCCTTAAATTTTGAGGTCAAGGCATTTTCAAAAGATAGAAGTTGGATTAATTCAGCAGCATTTATAATCAAGTGTACTTTAGCATTTGTTCCTTCCTTAGCAATCAAAAAACTGAAAAACACAATAGCGTACAGTATCCAGACTCTCTGTGTATTTTCCATCTTTACGTGGCTTATTTATTTATCTAATATTACTTTATTTCTTTCACTTTTATTTATTTTTCTCTGAGACAGGGTTTCTCTGTGGAAACCTGCCTGCCTCTGCCTCTGGAGCAATCCTACCGGCGTGTGCCACCACACCCGGCTTTTGTATTTATTTACCACTTTGCCGTTTCATTTTCTCTCTCAATCTCACATATATTTTTAAACACACTGTAAACCTTTAAAAGTTTTGTTCATCCAAGTCTGACTTTACTGTAAATCTTTATGTTTTTCTGGCCACGTGTCTTATCTGTAAAACCGCGGCTGTTTTAAACTGCCGTTTCAAGATGGCGGGCGTAAGCGTGACTGCAGCTTACCTCCTCAGTCCATGCTGACCTCCAGCAAAAGCTGCCACTTCCAGCTGTACGTACACACCTTTCAATCGTTAGCAGAGTCTCTTAAAACAATCTTGCTGGTTTTTTTTTTTTTTATGCCGAGTCAGGAAGACTCCCGTAAGCGAGCCACGTGAATCTCGGCTTGTCGTTAGCAAAACAGAGCACACCTGAGAAAAATGCTGCTACCAAAAATCTGTGCTTCTCTCCGTTCTTCTGTTTCTAAAATTCCTTTAAAGCTTTTGTTGTTCTACGTGGAAATTCAATCCCACTCCTGATCACCATTATGTTAAGGGAAGCTTTTTCCTTTGCTAGCCACTTTGGTTTATCCCCCACCAGTCGCCTGGGCTCTGTCGCGCCAGCCTGGTTCTAGAGCCGCATCAGTCCCAAATAAACACACAGGAGGCTATATTCATTATGAAGCTGTTGGCCTTGCTTGTTTCTAACTGGCTAGCTCTGACTTAATTAATTACCCCATAATTGTTAATCTAAGTATGTCTCTTACCGGAGAATAGTTCCAGGCTTCCTACCCCCAATGGCGTTACATGTTGACTCTCCTGTGTTTCTCCTACCCAGAATCCTCCTGGATTCCTAGCCCCACCTATCTAGATTCCTATTGGCCAGACAGTGCTTTATTAGCATAAGACTTCCCCAACATAAGTTAATCCAATTCTTCAGTAAGATCTAAGGACACACTGGATGGAGCAGAGAGAAGTGCCCTGCCCAAGGACACACAGCTCTGTTCTGTAATGAGGATCAGAAAGAACCTGTCCTGCTAGCCAGTTCCCTGGACACCTCATGAACATTCCTTGCTAAGTTCAACTTTATTCATCTTTCATGTAGACAAGATCGCCCCCCCTCCCAGACCCAGACTAACCCTCCAATCAGAAAGCACAAGAGCTTGTGTCTGGAATTGGCCTTGACTTTGCACTGTTCTCAGAGCCCTGGGCCACTTGTCCTACTACTGTTGGGCTCTGGCCCTGCACGTTAATGACTGGGAGGAGAGGGGTGCTGCTGCCCCAGGACTGGCGATGTAGTAAGAGCTCTGGTTAGTAAAGTATAAACCACCACCCTGTCCGGCCCCAAGCCACAGTATCCACACTGGATTCTGGAGTCCACTGTGGGCTAAGCATCACACCTACTTGTACCTGCATGTCCTTCCTTATCACAACAGCCTCAAGTCAGGGTTACTCTTGTCCCCAGCTACAGCTAAAGAGGCCAAAACAACCTCCTCAAGACCTGCAAGGGCCAAAGGGCAGACAGTACTTCATGCAATCTTGCTACATCCCATATCCACTTGCTGCTAGCAAATCCTCCCTCCCTTGTTCCGTCCCGTTCATCATCACTATGGCCCCCATGTAAATGAAGCCCATTTCCCAGGTAAGAAAAGCATGCCCAGAAAGAATGAGAGCCTCACTAGGGAGTAACATCAGCCACAATGGGGTTCACAAATCCGTAGTGTGACTCAGACTTGTTTAAAAGAGACCTGCCAGTTCTAGTGTCTTCTGTTGCTGGGGTTTGTGTCTCCTTGAAGTGGGGGAGTGCACACAGATCAGTAAAGGTTGGAGTCTAGAAAAGACTATGGAGTCTAGAAAAGACTATGGAGTCTAAGGAGGACTATGGAGTCTTAGGAAATGGCATAAGAAAATTGGGGAACTGTGGTTCTCAATTTCCTGGAGTCTGGGGCCACTGTAGAACTGGATGACAAATGTTTCATCAGCACAGAGGACAAAAGTGACAGATCCCGCCAAGTGTACTCTGTAATTATTCCCACTTTGTCTCAGGCATTATGTGTCTGAGTCTCTCCATGACTGCTATGTAGCTACATTAAAGACACCACACCTCTGTTGTACTCTTTAATCCAAATGTTTAGGAGGAAGGCCACCATTGCTCACGTCACCTTACACATTCAATGCCAAGACTGACATCCACAGAAACAAATGTTCTCACAATGTGGCTTCTTTGGCTCTGAGCCTTGATCTTAGACTGAATCTGTGATCTCAGATCCATATCTAGTCTGATGGATTAGACAGGCCATGATGGTATATATTGGCAGTTGTAACAAAAAATAAAATAATTCTTTTTGTGTCAGACCGAATCTTTTGTAACCTCAGTCAAAGCTGACCTTGAACTCCCGATCCTTCTGTCTCCACCTCCCCAGTGCTATTATTATAGGAATGTACCACCACACCAGCTTCAAAAATAATTCCTACATGTGAACTCAAGATTCTTTGATGAACCTGAATAGCTTTCTGGATCCCTGTATTCAGGGGGACTACAGAGAACTATTACCCATAAAAGCACAAGGGAGGGTTTGTCTACCTGACATTAATACATAGGCTGTCTAGGTGCTGGGAGCCATCCGCTGGTAGAAAACTTCAGAAGCTCCCACTGGGCTCCACTGAAATGCAGAAATCCTGCAGGCATGACTACAGCAGGCTGAAGCCCTCCAGAAAAGGCTGTCTGCTGGGGAATGGTGATGATGTGTAATCAAATTGTGTTTCATTAAAGAGAAAGTGTCCAGAGGTTTCTTGTTCGCTGCTTCCTAGAAAATTAAAGATAATGGAGTTAACAGAGAACAACTGTAAGTCAGATACCAACAAGTGATGCAAGCCTGAAGAAAACTCTCTCTTTGGATGCTTATATATGTCATGTGGGTGGAGCCCTGATTCTGTCCTTGGCCAGGAAAGTGGGCTCATGTTAAGATAATATACCACTCCCTGACTTTGAACCAAAGTCTACTCTATGGTCTTTCCTCCCATCTTGGGGGTGAGGGTGGGCAGGTAGGAGTGGACAGATGTGTGTGCACAAAGGCGTGCACAGATGAGAAGTCAACCTCAGATGCTCCTCAGGCACCAACCACCCTTGTTTTTTCTCACTGACCTGGCCAGGCTGAGCACCAAGAATCCCCTGGCCTTGCCTTCCCAGTGCTCAGCCCACAAGTGTGGGCCATCATGTCCGGCTTTCTCACATTAGGTCTAGGGATTGAGCTCAGTAGACATTTGACTGTCTGAGCTACCCTCCCAGCTAGTTCCCTACCCCCATCTTTAAGCTAGGAAAGATATTTCAGTGACCTGATGTCCCATTTTGAAGGTGTGAGGACTAGAGTTCAGGACTTCAGTGCTAAAACTGAGAAAATTCTGAACGTGTGAGCACGAGTTGGCCACCCTCTTGATCTCCTTGATCACGGAAAGTTCTGACTTGGTGGGATTTTTCTGTCTCTAGGGTTCATGAGAATTGCCAGATTCAAAACCCTGCAAGCCCCACAGCAGATGTGCTAGGAGTCTAGTCGGATTTGCAGCACACAGAACAGATACCACAGGGGGTGCCCACGTTCAGAGCTCCCAGCCAAGCACAAATCAGGCTCTCCTGAGACCTTGGATCCTGCAATGGCAAAGCCTCTAGGTCTCCCCAGCAACCTCACCAGAGCCTCAGAGATGGCAAAGAACCAGGTAGGGAAATCAGAACCCAGCAATCGGGTGATATTCCTACGGCCACCGGGAGATAAAACGCTACCATGGTCATCTGTTCCAAGTCTAGTGGCTCCTTGGCTGCTGAATGTCCTCCACAGGCACACAGGCATGGCCCCAGTAAGCATACTCTTCGGACAGACCTCCAACCTCTTGTTTGCCCTCTCACAGATGGGCATACCTCACTGCTCAGGAAAAAAAAAGTGTCCAGCATCCCTGATGATGGTCCTACTGCACATCATAAAACACATGTTCAGGTGGAAGAGATAATTCTGGAAGGTAAAACAGGAAGAAGGGCAGACTTCCTCACCTTGCCATAGTCAGAGGCTCCCCGGAGCAGAACCTGATGAGGCTGGGAATTCTCTGAGGTCCAAACTGGGCCAGTGAAACCTGAAACTGCAGCCAAGAGGGATAGAAACCCAGGAGAAGATGGGGCCTGTGAGGAGGAGGCAGTCTGTGGTTTTTAATTTACTTTTTCTTGCCCTGAGACAAAAATTAATTTGACTTGGGAAAAAAGGAACTTTTAACTTGACTTTTGAAAGTAAAATTTCTGCAACTCTTTTTCCACTTAACAGAACATTCCCTTAACTTCTAAGGCATAATGTTAATATGCACCAAGGATAGGGAATTCCCTGGGCTCAACCCACATATCACTGAACTGATTTTCCCCTCATTTCCTAGTAATACTGGATGGGTTGTGCTAACACGAGAGTTAACAGCTAATTTTACTACAGGGGAGATAATAACAGGAAATGATCTTTAATAATGAGTTAAATAGATTCCTTGGATCCTAATTCCTTTTATTAGATAAGGTCAATGGTTATCTTATGTGAGTAAATCTATCTGAGGCCAGCAACAAAATACAGAGAAAACTGTGGAGCAAACATTCCACAGGGCAAGGCGTGAGCCCGAGCCCACACTGCACATGGAATATAGGCCACCATGAAAACAGTCACAAGACTTGTTCTCTGACCGCCATACTCTTGCTGTGTCACAAGTACAACACATGCACACGTACACGCACCCATATACAACTCTCTCCCTCTCTCTCCCTCTCTCTCCCCCCTCTCTCTCTCTCCCTCTCTCTCTCCCTCTCTCTCCCTCTCCCTCTCTCTCTCTCCCTGTCTCTCTCTCTCTCCCTCTCCCTCTCTCCCCCTCTCTCTCTCTCTCTCTCTCTCCCTCTCTCTCTCCCTCTCCCTCTCTCTCTCCCTCTCTCTCTCTCTCTCTCTCACACACACACACACACACACTAAATAATAAATTTTTAAGCCCACAAAACCAGGATAGCCCTATGTCAAAACAAGAAAGATTAACATTGTTCAGGCTATGCACTTAACAGGAAGAAAAGTTAAGACCCCAACGTCGGTCTTATACCTCCAGATTATTCATCTTAATGACCCCTGTTCATTGAAATAACTGTCTCTCTCTTTCTTTTATTGAGCAGCTTTTGATAACCGGTTTTCTCATAACACATCACCAGCCTGTGAATCGATATTTATTAGTTGTATACACGTTCTACTCTCTTCACGGTGTAGCTGTATCTCAGAGAGGCACATTTCTCAAAATACAATCTAACATGCCCCAAAGTGGAAGAAATGGTTACAAACTAAATGTAAACTGAAGATGTAATGTATTTTTGAAGAACCTGTGAATTGTGGACAAACAGGAGAGATGGAGCATGATGCTGGTGGTAGTGGAAATGAGTGTTGCCTTGGAACCAGGAGGGCTAGGCCGTCCTCCTTCCAGCAAAGGGGAACAAGGGGCTGGAGATTTCAGAACTTTCCCCAAAGTTGTGCATAATTCATCTCTCTGGGGTCCTTCCCTAGTCCCCTTTCCTCTGTATGGAATGGAACCTGTGTACTTGCCAGGAAGATCAAGGGAGCCAAACATTTGAGTGACGGCAGGCATTCTAGTTTGTGTTATGCTGTCATAAAACACTGACCAAAATCAGTGTAGGAAGGAGGAGTGCGGCTCACCAGTTAAGAGCACTTGCTGCTCTTGCAGAGGACAAGGGTTCAGTTCCCAACACCCACACAGCAGCTCACAACCATCTGTAACTCCAGTTCCAGGAGATTCCAAGGCTCTTTTGAATTCCATTGGCTTCGGCTCATACATGATGCACATACATACATATACTCGGGCACATACACATAAATAAATACACTGACTAATTAGTTAATTAACTGACTAAAAACAAATATTAAAAGAAAAAAAACAGCTTAAAGAAGAAAGGGTTCATCATCCCATCTTACAACTCCAAGTCACAACCCATCACTGAGGGAAAACAAAGCGGGACCTGAAGCAGAGCTCACAAAGAAACGCTACATACTGACTTACTTTCCATGGCTTGTTCAGATACCTTTCTTACATAACCCAGGCCCATCTACCCAGGGATGTCACTGTTCAAGGTAGCCTGGGCCATCCTCCATCAATCAGCAACCAAAAAAAAAAAAAAAATGCCCCATAGACATACCCACAGGCCAATCTGATGGAGACACTTTTTCAGTTGAGGGGCCTTTTCCCAGGTGACTCCAGTTTATGTGACAAAAATTAATCAGTGCAGCCTCCATACTCCAGAAATTTACACCAGTGGGCAGGAGGGAGTTTCAGCCCAGTTGAGATTGACTGGCTCACTTCCTCTTAGCCAAAGCCCTTGTGCGGAGGTTTCCGGTTCCCAGAAGCTTCTAAAGCTGTGGGTGGGCATGTAATTACAGTGTTCTAAAGCAAACAAACACACACCCGAGTGGGAGGCTTGCATATTTATTTGGCTAATTAGAAGGAAATCACTGAGAGGATATACGTCAGTCTTTTCCTTTCTTTCTTTTTCCTGCAATACTAATTGACATTTTATTAGCAGCACATCTTTATTTTCGCTGTGCTCTCAATACAGCACCAAGGCACAACATCATACTCTGGCAATAAGTGAGTGTGACTCATGCACCTCATAAATATAGCCATGTCTAGGGAAGCCCAAGGGCAGAACGCCAGCATCAGCATCATATGAGAGAGTGTGGTACCACGAAGACATTTATCACACTCGCCCTTCCAATTTGCTGCCTAGCTGCCTAGAGAGCTGGTTCTGCTCTACCTAACTCCCAAAAAGGCAATGGTCAGCATTCCTACAAGCCCAAGCTGGGATCAGAAAGGAAGCTCTGTGCTGTGCAGCTTCTGTCTGCCTACTGTTCATCCCAAGGAAGAATGAGACACAGGCTCAAAACTTAGGATTAATGCAGATTTTCTGAGATCCTACACTGAGTCTGAGCCCAGCACAAGGCAGCTGCCACAAAAACATGGAATCATCAGATCTAGGTTGGACTTTGTACTCTGCGCCCCCATTTACCATTACTTAAAACCTTCCTTTTGCAATTGTCCCAATAATTAAATCAGAGAATCATATAAAGCCATACACAATGCCTGTTGCATCCTTCCATACCAGGAAGTTATATTGCGGCAGGCAGAAAATAACATTTAACATAACTCAGGAAACCCAAGGTCTTAAGATTTGGGCATAATAGGTACACAGTAGTGCCCTACCCAACACTATTAAAAAAAACTCTTCCTTTCTGTTGGACAGGGAGGCAAGAAGACACACAAACTGTTGCAATACATAGCTGGCTCCAACAGTCCAATAGCAGGAGTTGCTGAAAGCTTTGGAGCAGAGAAGGAAGGTGGAAAGTGCTGTACTATGGACAGAGAACCTTGCAGAGGTGTGCTGCTTTTGAGGCAACATCCTCTAAGGAGCCTGGGGAAGGGCAGCTCTGTGTAGAGTGTGTAGTAAACATGAGACCCAGGGCGCCATCCATGGCCAATACCAAGAAGATTATATCTACAGATTCTTTAAACAACACATAATTTCAACTATTTGCATAACACGGACATTGTATTGGGTATTATAAATAACCTTGAGATTATTTAAAGCACGTGATGTAGATTATTTGCAATTTTATAAAGAACTAGAGCACCATGGATTTCTGGACCTGGGGATTCCATGGAAGGAATCCCCCACAGACTCTAAGAGATGATTACATTAGAGTAGGCAAAATATATTGTTAAGATTAATCCTACCACATCTCTTAGCTTTTTCGATCTATCTTCTAGAGAAGTTTAAAATTGCATATGTGGCTTGTGTTATGTTTCTACTGGACAGCAGCACTCTGGACATTTCAGGGCGGAGAGGGGCTGGGTGCAGCAGCAACATCTGGGCCATTTCGTTCCAGCCAAACTACTGATGTCTCCAAGCCTGGCCTGCCTCCCCTGCTGCCACTTCGCAGGGTAATTAAAATGCCTTGAAGCAAAGAGCCAGCTCCTGAGCATGCTTGACAGTGCTCAGAGGGTTTTGCTAAGCTGTTTCCAGACAGTGGTCCCAAACACCCATGTCACATCCAGAGCAAGGATCGGGCCAAAGTGCCTGGCTCTCATTCCTGTGATCTAGTGGCCATACACAGCTCACACATGCCCGGCAGCAGCCATTTCACAAGGTAAATTAAAAAGCAACCAGCATTTTCCTCTCCAACTGGCAACACATACACTGTTTTTCAGTGACTTGTGGAGAGCTCCAAAAGCCCGCAGGATCTGTCTAGACGGATCCCAAGCATGGTGCTGGAGAATACACACAAAGGATATTGTTTTGATATCACTTGGCTCTGTCTACACTGCCCCAGATTCACACTTGAAATTAGCCATCCTTCTAGATGCTGACCTTGAGCCTCTTCCGTTCTTCATCAGTAAAATAAGGAAGCTGGGTTTCCTGGCCTTGAACATCCTAGGAGAAAGCCTGCTGCCAGAGACAGGAAGGGTGTGTGTGCATTGCAGTGAGCAGGACCACAGTTCGAGCCCAAACTCTGCCATTTACCAGCCCTGCGAATTGGGACAAGTAACAAATTACTTAGGCTGTGTGAGCTTTGCTTTCTCTTCTGGAAAATGAGAATACAGATGCTGATGCTCTAATAAGTCAAGGTGATTAGATTAAAGAAGAGGGGAGAGATGCAAATTGTAACCGTTGGAACCTAGTCAGTGACAAGCAAATTTATTTAACAAAGACTTCACAGTTTGTTTGGGGACCATGGGCTCAAGCCTCAGAAGACTTCAACTGACTGGGGTTTTGCATCTCTTCCAGTTGACTGATGATCTCTGCCCAGCAGGGGCAAGACACAAGGTTGGGGGTGCTTCTAGTGTGAACTAGATACTGCTGAGCTAGCCAGGACAGTTAGGACGGGGGAGGAGGGTTCTGGCGAGGAATAACTCTTTCATTTTATTTTACATATTCATTACGATTACCTGGGCACAGTGGCACAAGCCTTAAAGCCAGCACTTGAAAGGGGGAAGCAGGTTAGTGATTCAAGGACATCCTCAACTACACACACAGTGAACTGTCCTGGGCTACATGACCCTGTCTCAAGAAACAAAACATAATACAAAAAAACATGTATTATTGTTATTATTAGTAGTATTACTATTATTATTAAAACTTATCTTTTGTGTTCCTGCTGTCACTTTTGGAGGAGGCACTGTCTGGAGGCAGGAACAACAGACCCTCAGGGCTGTCAGCAGTCAGAGCAATCTTAGCACCTCTGGGTTCAAATCTGTAAGATTAAATAATTGTTCTCTCCCTGCCGAGGTCAGGGAGAAGCAACTATCTGTGTCACCTCCTCTTTCTCTAATTCTCTGTGCTTTGTATCCTTATTGCATCTGGGTCAGATTCATTGTGAATATTAAACATAATTTGGGAGATTTTCCCTCTTGTTTTGAAGTAGCAAAGGTGACATTTCACTCCCAATTCATTCTCTCAGGATAGCCAAAAAAAAATTAAATATTTTTCCTGAAATTCTCACCACCTAGATAGAATTCCTAGATAGAATTAAATGGCTAAAAATTAAATGCAGTTATTAAAGCTTGTTTTGTTTAAGGT